CCCCCTTTATTTTTAGATGTACCTTGCTATGTAACTAAATATCTAAAATAAGCAACTTTCTGATCTAAAAATCAATTCCTTTGTTCAAAAATACCATAGGATGAAGGATGAATTCAGGATCTGGAAAAGTTACTGAAGTGCACAGTGACTATAACTGGGAATTTGTAAGGACTTTAGGAAACACAAAGTCTTCTTCATCTCTAACTTGGATGACTCCATGTTCTGACTCATTAGACTGCTAACAACTGGGAAGCACAGCAGGCATCTGCGTGAACTGTGGTAATGCACAGAGTTTTCCAGTAGCACAGTAGCATTTTACAGTAGTGTCTCCAGTCATCATTTACACTCTCTTCTGAAGAGAAACCATCTTCTGAAGAGATGGAAGGCAAAACATTCTTTTTAAAAGAAGCACAACTAGAGTAATTAAGGAAATAGCCATCACATTTTTGAATTACAGTTCATTGGAACTCCTGTCTGTTCTCTGTGATGAAGAGAGCAATTAGAGATTTAATTACTAGAGTTTTTCAGATAGTAGACGACTGTTTTTCTTAATCTCTATGTTCTTCCCCTTCTGAGCAGTTGCCTTTCTCGTGGGCTCTTTGTATTGTTGAGATCATTATCCCTCTCTGGTTGGACACAGTTATACCAGGTGCTATGTTGGTGAGGTTGCTACAGGGGATTGCTAGAAAGGAAGGAAAATGGAGAGGACTAATCCTCATAGGCTGCTTCTCCAGATCATGCTAGGTTGTAGCATACCGCTTTTCATCCACAGATTGCAATGACCTTTACAAAGGTCTTGTATTCATCAATTTGGAGACAGGCAATATAAGAAAAGGGAGATTAAAGGACTTTCCCTTTAAAAAAAGAAAAGAGTGAATAACAAAGCCAACTATGTAGACCTAATCTTCCATCTCTGCTAAAGACACATGTCCATGGGACACACTCCCTTCTAACAGAGGATAAATGTAGGTCATCACTTTACTCTTTCTGAGATTCTCCTCTGAGACTGGATTTCTCGGCTGATTGTTACTCTTTCAAAGAATGTTTTAAAGATGGACCTGTCTATTTAAAATAAAGAATTCTTCAAAGAGCAGTAAGAAGAAAACTATTGGAATTGCTCTTCTTTCCATCTCTCTCACAAAAAGAGTTAATATTTCAGCTCCAAATAAGGATGTCATAGGGCAGCCCTTTTTCCTGGCACCAATAGCTTTCACCTCCTTTGAAGGAAATAAAAATGAGCAGTAGTAATTTTCTCCCTCTTTACTGATCATGCTTCTACTCATTTTAATATTTCATTAATGCTTTTAGTTATATGGTCACTTTAAAGCTGTAGCCATGACAATAAAACTAAATGTTAGAGTTCTTTTCAGGAATAGCCTTATTTTCTGATAATCGCTTACTTGTCTCATCATTGTAGGAAATGCATTCTCCCCTGCACAGAAGCTATTGAAGGCTGGGAGTACTGGACTAAGAGTTGAAAGAAGTTCATTGTCTTTTCTCCAGCAAAACCTGCATAGATCATTTGCTCTTAATGAAAAAGGGATAATGATAGCATTTGGCCCACGCATGCACAAAAAGCCAAATGCACTCTGTTATGCTTTTCTAAGGTACTTGTTCCTCTGGACATACTAATCAGTGCTGACAAAGTCAAAAAAGTTATAAACCAAAGACTGATTATAATGCTTGACTTTGTACTACACACTTAGAAATAATCACAGCTGGAACACTCAATTCCTGCAAGTGATAATGTTTCTGCTGGTATTTAAAGACTTTGCACATTAAGTGGGTGGAGAAAGTCTCTGAAGTTTTTCCTCACCAAAGAAAATCCCCTTAAGAGAATAAAGATTGAATTCAGAGTGTGTCATATTCCTATTAATAGCCAAATGGGAGATGAATGAATCTGATCAAATCCTGTAATTATTACCAGGAGATATTGATGAAATCTCAGTGTAATTTTCTATTTTTAATTTCTTTTCCTATATATAACAGTCTGCAAAGTGCTTCAGGGTGCCTTTGAATGAAAGCAGCAGATATTAGTGTAAGATTTATCACTGTGTTGATTACGATCATCTACTTACTCTTTATAAGCATTCTGTGGTATGTAAAAAGAAATGCATTATGCATATATCAGCAAATGACATATTCAAAGTACTGATAAGACTGTTATCACTATTAATTTGTTTATATAATGATTTCATATAACCAGACTCCTGTGACCGGAGTTACTTATTTTCTCCAATTTTGTTTGACATCACTTAATTACGAGTCCAGTCCTACACAGGAAAACACATAAAAAACATACTACAAGTAGGAATGGACTTAATTTTAAAAGATACGCTTACATGAGCTGAGGAAGTGGAATTGTTTTGAGAATACAAATAAAACACCTACTGGGCTGAAACTGCAGTGTTAAACATATATTATTTAGTTATTAGCAGTGGTTTAAAGAATACAAACTCCCAAGTATTCCCATTTCAAAGGTATACAATTGTCCACCTCTCACAAGACCCATTTTTTTTTACTATGCAAGCACCTCTATTGTAATCCCTGAATTTCCATAATCTATTTGAGAGGTATAAAGCAGTTTAGTCCAGATAGTATCCGCAAATGAATGGCTGTATAAAACATTTTGAAGGGTACAGATGTGCCAAGTATTAGTATTTTCTCTTTTCCAAAAATATTTGGCAAGAACTTTATTTATATTAGAACTGCTAAGAAGAGCTAATATTACAGAGAATTTAATGAACAATGCAATTTTGGCAGCAGTCTTAATCATCTGGAAGCTAGTTACTTGGAAATATGCAAGCTCTAATTAACAGGATCAAAAACAGGGCAAACAAAAGCTAGGATTAAAGCAGAACTAGCTAACTTTTGAAAGGTTTTGATAAAATTTAGTTAACTTTTTTATTTGCATACAATGCAGCACAAAAGCCATACTTTTAGATTCACCCTGTTCCCAGAGCTCTGCCTTTTTTTAGGAACTGTCAACTCCCCACAATATACTCCAGGCTGAAAACTTTTATTTCCACTTGAATTTGTTGTTCTCAGGGATTCTTAAAGATCTCTTGTCTCTTTCCCACATCTTGTCGCCTCAGATACCCCTATACGTTATGTCGGAGCTAATGACTGACCTTTGATTTGGCTGCCTAGTGGTATTATAGAAAATTTCTCATTAGTATATGAGATCATATAGACTGACAAAAAGTCATAATAATTCAAATTTTTTTCCACACTGGCATTGGATAGGCTGATATGTTGTTCTCATTTATAACAAAAAAAACAAAGATAAGTTTGAACTCTCAAAATTAAGACTAATCTTAAGGCAGTTATATTTCTTCTCTAGCACAGTGGTAAAAAAATGAGAAAGTGCCACCAACCTTTAGCAACGCACTTCATTGTGGTGTAACAGGTGTTTTGGTTGGGTAAGCAAAGCCTATGGGCAAAGCTATGGGCGAACAGGGTTTGCAAGCTGTTTGTTTCAGTGGAAACTGTACAAGTAAAACAGGGAAGCAGTCTGGATTTTTATTTTTATTTTTGAGAATACGGACCTCCTGAAAATCTAAACAATATGATGAAAGACCATGTAATCCCAGAACTCAAATTACTAACACAAACAAGTCCATCCTTTGACATCTATTAGTAAAGATAAATTATACCAGAGACATGAGGCTGATGATGCAGCAAGCATAAGTAATCCTCATTTAGAAATTATAAAAGATTGAATAGATTAGATCAAATTAACTTAATACATAAGCACCACAGTCACAAATAGTCCCACCAGAAGAATGATGAGCAAATTAAAGATACCCTCAATGACAATGAACTGCACAAAAGAAACAATGAAATTTGCATTTAGCACAAGTCACTCAAGTTACTTTCAGGAACTTCAAACCATCTTTGAAGAAGAAACCAGTTTAAATTAGCCATGCA